GCGGAATATAAGTGCTCTTCGGACTTTTTAATGCTCGGCGTGGGTTTTAGTGCTGGGGAGAAGCTAGCCACTCAACATGCATTCATTTTCAGGTTAGGTTCGGGTTCCACTGAAAATCGTAGTGCTGGGACTTCTGCGTTCTGTGCATTTTACACAAATTCAAAAACGCATATTAATGGGAGTTTGTTGGTGTGGTTGTGTGTTTGTGTACATATAGATGTGTGTTCCTGTTTATGTATGTGTGTTCGCACTTCTGTTACCCACTTTCAACTGAGCAATCGGTGAAGCTAGAAAGCTGGGATTTTTGAAGCTTCTTCCCACATGCCTCCATTTTTAAAGTCATCGTTCCCCTAGGCCTGGGTCTCGCGCACAAAGACCTAAAAAAACTTGCGTGGATTTTTTGGCAAGAGAAGGATTTCGGAAACCAGAGAAGATTGGAAATTCCAACTTCATACGAATATTCCGTGTCCTTGTGCTAGTTAAAGATTTCAAATTTACTTTGAACACACGCGTGTGTCATGCGTACGAACACATCAATACTATTTCGCATCGGCTTGCAAAATGGGAATCGGCAACTAGATTGTGTAGGTTCCCCTAATTTTAGAGGAGTATTTAATGTCTATGTGAAAATCCGTAGACATAAAATGGCCATTCGCATAGGCTGTGTCATGCATACGGGTATGTCGGGTTAACTATTTTGGAAGCCGGTTCAACTAGGAAACTGAAGTTTTCTGAGGATATGATGACGTGTATAAGTACAAACGACCTCACTACAGCACGAAATCGTGTAAAAATGCGCGCTGCAGCTGATGTTGTCCAGGCAGAATTCTAGGTTTTCAAAATTGCTAACTTCTCCTTAGCACCAAGTTCCACGCTGAGCATAAAAAAACCATGAGGGCATTCCTCGCATAAACCCGCCCCTGATTCCAAATTTTTTGTAGGTGGAATGATTGGTGAGGCATGTGTGTACTGGATTTATTGTAATTTGGGTACCAACTGTTAAAAAAGGCGCTTATAAGCGAAATTATGCTGCTTTCTCTAACTTGATATCAGCAAACACTAGGCTGATTTGTATTCAGTTCTTCGATAATTTCAGAAGAAATGAGGAAATGTGTGCTGGAGATGCGGCGAATGGATTTTTAGAGCGAGCTGTTGCGGACCTAAATCGTAATAACCATGATTTGCTGAAACAGAAAGTTGCGGATCTGGATATTCAGCTGACTTATGTTTCGCATCAGGTTGTGCTTAATTTAGAATCTTCCTCAGTTTTTATCAGTTTTAAGTAAGAATCCTTGTACTTGGCTTGGTTCAGATTCACTTCTCTTCATGCTTTTGGGCAGTGCTACGCTGAAAAGCCACGACGGCCCAGACTATTATAGGAATTTCCGGATCTGAAGACCATGGTGTCCTCAAAATAGGGAGCTAGTTTGTGGGCTTGTTTTCTCTCATTTAAAGTATGATTGGCGTTTTTTTTTTTGTGCCAGCTACTGACGCCCTTAGCGACATTTAAGTTTTGGTAACAAACGTCAAAATTTCCGCCCTACTTCATTTTTCTTGAGAAATAGAGATACTTGGAAGCGGCAAGAATGATAGCACTGCCGTCTCACGCTGA